ATCTTTCATCGGTATCTATTGAAAGGTCGAAAAAGTATTATACTCATGCCTATTTCCTAACACATTAAATCTTTTCACCGTTACCTTTGCTAACGCCAAGGAATCGAATTATGTTGGGATGGTCATCTACTTTGCGATGGATCTTGAGCTGAATATTGGTCATATAACATATAAGAACAACAGTTTCATAGACCTAGCAGCAGTTCCGTCATGCACAATTACAAACCTCCTTTACAAAGCATTTAAAGAACTCGTCTTCGTCCCAACATTTGATCATCTTGTAAGCAACAATGATGTCCGATGTTGCTACTGTTGCTTTGAAAACTACACCAAATGCACCATGGGCTATGCAGTGGCTATTGATTAACTCATTATAAGGATAGAATCTAATGTAGCCGTGTTCAAGACTATTTTCTAACCATTGCTTGTCAGAGGTAATTGATGTCATCGTTGTTATTGCGACTTGAACTCCTGCCGCTAGTGATGTTCTGACCCAAATCGTAATTTGACCCAATTCGCAATAATAATAAGCACAAAGTGATGCTCTGGCAACCAATGAACAATAATAATAAGCACAAAGTGATGCTCTGGCAACCAATGAACAATAATAATAAGCACAAAGTGATGCTCTGGCCACCAATGAACTTTATCTGTACAATACTATAACTATTGGGTCAGAACAATGATATTGACTGTTTCACGTGCATAGTAGTACACATGCACAGCCCAGTATATGCAGCATGAACGTTTTTATTGGGTAATCTAATATATAACATAAGCAAATTATATAGGTCAGTTAAATGTCCTGATAATAAATTCATATCTAGTTATTATTATTATCATTATAATCTTGACATGTATATAAACATCGGTCGAATCCCAGAGATTTAACGCGTTTTCAAATATTCGATCAAACATAAAATAAAGAAGAAAAAGGACAAACATAAATCACTAAGCACGCAAATACGTATGTTCCGACGTATTTGCTGTTTACATAGCCGCATTAATATTAAGGGTTAAACCGAGATATAAGATTATATATTGGCTGGTTATTCATTGTAGAAGGCGAAGGCGAAGAGGCTAGCTATAATAAATTCAGGCATAAATTTGCCTAGAGCAGTTAAAGAATGGCTGGCTCTGAGCGAATCGCTTGATGTTCTTGATTAACGACGATCATATTGATTTCTTGTCAAATAGGATTGATCGATAATAATACATATTAAAATTATGCCATGCGATCATGTGTTGCCAAGCAAGCATGTCCGTTTAACGTGCAGATAAAATAACACCATTTTGGACGAATATATATAAATTAGATGTCAAGAGATATGCAAATAAAAAAAAGAGAATTTCAAATTTTGAGCAGAGAAACATTATTAGAAGTGCAGAATTCATCAAGGCAACAGAAAACGATGCGGTAAACATCAAAACTACAGAGAGAAAGAGTATTTGTCACTTATTTGATCGAGTGAGATATTCTAACCACAATTACTACTAAAAATTCACATAACGAGAATAATTAATAAGGTTTGGATTGTTTCTTTTTCACGACGTAATTTATATTAATTTGGTGTGGCATAACTCTCCGATCACGTTTACAAGTTGTAACACGATCTACAGACAATACTAGTTCGGGTAATATTGTCAAATTACGACACATACTCGTGTAACATGCCTAATCTTACCTCCGTATTATATGTAATTTCACTCGGTGAGTTAACTCGTATTCCAGGATATCCTATTTTGGATTCTCGATCTCCTTGTGCTAGGCTATTGTAACTATAATCACGTGAAATGCAGTTGACATAAGCAATCCTACTTTTTCGCTCCATTCTATCTCTCTGCCTCTCTTGATCAAGGGAAAAAAAATAGATAACAAACTGCAATAAACGGACATTAATAATAAATGCACAAATATAGATGTTCATATTAGTATTCGATAGTGGCTATTTATAATTTATTTAACAACGCATTAAATCAATTCACGACGCAAATTTCAACGACAAAGCAACAATCTCTACCTCGGCAATGACACACTTTCTCCCAACAGAATGCATACAAAAGATATTCGCATATCTATACGAAGATATCCCATCTCTTCATTCAGGCGTATTAGTATGTCGTCATTGGTGCAGAAGCATAGTCCCTATTCTGTGGCGACAAACGCTTCATCTCGAATTATCAAAGACGAATCCTCGCATAATACCAGCATATCTTCCATTTCTCACCGAAGAGTCATTAGCATCATGTGGGATAATACGTCGACAAAAGGACAAGAAACAACTGCCATTCTTCGACTATCCATGCTACTTACGTCAGATGGACTACTCAATATTGTACGAATGCATATGCGCATGGTGGAATAGTATAAACGATCAAAGTGAATATGTGATAATCCGCTCAAATCAAATAGGAGGAGGAGGGATATGTGGGAACGGATGTGAAAATGGATGCGCAGACGACATTGACAGCCAACATGGGCATGAGAATGGGGATAGAAAACCAATATGTAGGAGACGAGCAGACGCGGAGGATGAGGGTGCGAACGAAGCTTACGGAAAGGCTTTGTTGGCTAAGGAACTATGCAAGTTGTTTGTTAGTAGTTGCAAATCATTTGGGTGCTTACATTTGGAGACATTACCTCTGAAAGAGCAACTGGAGAAGGCATTGTTCCGTATCCCCGTCGAATTTTTGTCGATTCCTGATTTCCCCGGAGCGAGCGAGTGCTTGGCTAATCTAGCTGCGTTTGGTGAGTGCACGAACGGGACAGATATGTGAGGGTCGAGAGGACGTTGTTATCTAATATTTTGCATGTCCGAGTCTATGAGTTAATGTTGCCCAAATGCGTGGGCAATGGACGTGGCATCTTGTGACCGGTAATTATATGTATGGTATCAACAGGTTTAATGAGCAGATAAAAAGAAAACTTTCGGTGTAACCACATCCGTAACCCTGCCATTCCACGATTATCATTCATACGGTTTACTGCGTCTACTACCCTATCGTCTATTACTACTAATCGCTTTCTATATATCCTAATATTATTAGAATGTAGTGGTGACTATGATAAACAGCAAATATTCACCGGGATGGCATCTATTTGCAAAGATCTCAAGATTCTCACCGCAGATGGAATTGACTATGGAAAAGACGCATCATCAGCGCTGGCAACCCTGCTCTCCAAGCAACGTGGTCTTGAGTATTTTCTTCTCTCTCGTTGCTTAACTGATCCGTCTCGTATACTATCAGCACTGAAATCAAGTGAATTGACGTTGAAGAGTCTACAATTTTCGTCGTGCCATTTCCCTCACGATGACTCATTGAAGCCAATATCATCTTGTGTTCACATTGATACTTTGAGAATGAATCAGTGCGGATTCTTGACCAACGAAATGTTTTCTTCCATCAAAAATACTACCTTCCCCAATCTTGCTTATTTGGACTTTACCTACACATTCGCACCTACTTATTCGTTTATTGAAGTATTCCGTCGATCTCATTCGTCACTACGGGAGATATGTCTTGGCGGAATACACGAACATTCTCCAGATATAGTCAGCGGCGTGGCCGAGTATTGTCATAATGTGACTGTATTTGAGGTAACAGTGCAGCGTGATGGTATACACAAGTTACCAATGTTACTACGAAATTGTCATCAATTGGAAGTCGTGCGACTTTATGGCGATTTGAATAGTTGGACTGGATTCCTAAATGCGAGCGAAATGATTGGGGAAGTGGGAGATATAGTGCCGTTGAAAATGAGAGAGATGGTAATAGTGACTAATTGGGCCGTGAGTGCAGCTGGATTGAGCAAATTTTTTCAAAAGTGCAGGGCATTCTTGAGTAATATGACAGTGCATTGTTTCGATCACACACTTGACATTAAGCCATATACGGATGCAATAACCGAGTATGTGAAAAGACATGGAATGGATGTAAAATGCCTTTCATGTAGATTAGAGGATAGACTTTTGGAGGTGAGTAAAGTGCAAGGTTACATTATTAAGAATATTACATCGCAAAGTATGTACGGCTGCAAAAGCTTTGTTATCTAATTGCCGTTGTATCTGTATAGTTTACTTATCGGTCCACTTCGTCTGACGATCGTAAATGAATCATATATGGGCGCCGATGTTATATAATGGGGGATTTACTGTTAATTGTGGAACATTTAACAGTGTTCGTATTAATACTGTTGTAAACGTTATTGATTTTATGAAGGCATAAACAGAAAACGTAGGTCTCCATGCGTACTAATAGTTGCTCGTTTTGTTACTAATATTATCACGTGATACGAGTATGTTGAATTTTTATTGTTGTTTCAATTATCGGTGAGCAAGCCGCTAGAGCATCAACTGTCGAACGTGTCAGTATTATAGTGAAATGGGTGACCTTGTCATTCTTGCACCACGCCTGCCGCTAATGCTTTATGTTCATTGTCCCTATCAAAATAGTTCAATGTCCAATAGCATTCATGATCAATGGCGACCTCGTCCATGGACATATTTACGCCATGTCTTTGAACAGCTTATTTCTAATCACATCAATAGAGTCCAAAAATCAAAGGGCTGTATTTGAAAAAAAGTCCATGCGAGTATTCCGGCTTCATCGAATGGAAATACTTTGAAATATTCCTTGGCTTCTTCAACGTCTTTAACTAAAAGCTTAACGCATACACCCAAAGGAGCCGGTATAGCATATATTTCAGTCAATACACCCGACTAAAAAAATTCTCGCAAGAAATGAATGTTAAATATAGGAAAATTGAGTATACAGCCTCGAAATATACAGTATTGGAATGCAATATCATTTGACTTGTCTAATGTTTAGCATATATTATATTGTCAAATAGTTTTTTTATACTCACCATATAGAGGCGCCATGCCGCAATTGATTGTTCCTTTGCTAAGTGAACATATACTTCTCGAGTAAAGTTCTCGTTGAATCTGGCAATGCCCACCACAAACTGTTTTGGACCATTTGATAAAATTGGTAATGGATTTTTGAGCTTATCCTTAATTTCTTTATCATTACTGCGAAATAGCCGTTGCCATCCCCTGTATTCGTTGAGGACGTAGAATTCGAAGGTGGACAAAAGGCCCTAAATTGTTATGACCATGAAAAGTTACCGAGGCTGCTATATCCAGTCGATGCAGGCGCAGTTAATACTTACTGTGTTAGGTATGAGAGAGCCAATTAATTCTCTTGCTTCATCCATGCTCGCGGCCTCCAACATATATATTATTCCTTGTCCGTTAGCCAATTTAAACAAATCTCGAACCATTCCGTTGACACGATACGCCCAAAGTTGTTCTAATCTAGGCCGCATTATCTCTTCGGGGCTTAATTTCGTTGTATTAAAATACTCGAATACCACAAAGCGCATTATTAACAACGGAATGGAGAATTAGCTAAGAAAGTAGAAAATAGATAAAGAATGGGTGACTATTGAATAAAGCGGTATCCTTAAAAACAAGTCTGCGATAACTGTATAAGTACATGACTGTCTTTATTTGTTCCCAGCTTCCCCATTAAACCCTCCCCGGTCTAGAATATCGATTTCTTTCGGTAACACAAATATAAGTCCGCTTACCAAACTTGTTCTAAAAATATTCTGTGTATCCCGCGCTTCCACACATGGCAGCACGTACCAATGTTTTAAGAGACGCCTTTTTTCTCAAAGACAAAAAATAACAGTTGGGGAAGTGGAGAAGAGGGAAGAGGGAAGTAGAAATGAGAGAGGAAAGAAGATAAATGAGTCAGGGGGTGAACCAAAGTATTTACAGTTTTGCAATGATTCTGTGGAGAGCGTAATAGTATCGGATAACCCCTATACATGTTGATCTGGCGCAGTCTTTTAGTAGCGTTCGGGCAAGAGAAATCAACGGTCTAGATTTTAATGTTATAAATTGAATTCCTGCTGTATACTGGCTCGCATATGATTGTATTAACAAATAGAAAAACATGTCACTTAATGCGATAACAAATTCATTAGGTAACATATTGGTAAACAATTGTAAAAAATATTAAATATTTACTATTTATTGTGTACAACTTATTAAACGATAACACAAGATGTCTGTTTTATAGTCTCGAATGTCGATCACTATACCCGATTTATATTAATTATTATTATTACTAATATTAAGTGACAATTCCCGCCACGAATACGAAGGGAACTCGCTTCTGGCTAAATAACGCGCATACTCCCACTCCGTTCTCTTGGGAAACAATATATTTAATTCCCTCATATGTTTATTCTCTAATAACATCCCAGCATTCAACTTTACATGATGGATATTCGGTCCACACTTGTGCAGAGAGCTTGGCGCGGCAATTATTCTTCTGCTTTCAGCATTTTCCAAGGCTGTGCGTAGAGCAATCTCTTGATCGAATCATGGGCAACGAAATAAGTTCGATGGCAATATGAAGCCGAAGACAGTGAACTTAGCAGTAAGAGACGATTACTCTAAGTGGGTAAACGTAAGATTGCATACATTACAGAGTCCAAAATATATGTTAGATGGCACGGAAGATAGTTGCCGACATTTTATTGGAGGTAAATCAAACATATCAAACAACAAACATTCAAGGCATTGGATATTCCCGATGCTTACCAATAATCTCTTCACAAAGAGTCCGAAGTTATTACTATTATTCGATGGGCAATCCAGGATTTAATCATTATTACATATTGAGAGCGGCAATAAGTAATTAGGCGTATGGAAGAATATATTACGCCAGCATCAAAATAAAACACGAATATGCTGCTGTCTATTGCTATCCAACCAGAGTCTTTGGCGAGCACACGACCAGCATTATTATAATGTTCTCTTTCACTGGTTATTCATCGTCCAATTTGTGAGCTATTTATTTTAAACTGTTCGATGCAATTAATAATGCAAATAAATAACCCCAAGAAATATTATATAGTAATGAATTATAATTTTATAACCATGATACGAGGATTACACAAGGAAAGATGCAAATCGTGTGCAAGTGTACAAATACATTATCCAGAATACTCACTCTTACCATTAAGTTCTTTCGATAACGCAATCTAGGCTCTGCCATCTCTTTTGTTTGATATCCTGTTTAGGTATTCAATGGACAGGGGGAAGCTGTTTGCTACACAACTAAACATTTAATGATGGCGCTAGAAAAATGCCGTGTCGATAATGTGAAATGCTGTTGCTCAATGTCCTTAACAGCCATATACGAGAAAGAAGAGTGACTTTAAATGGTTAGCTTGAACACAATAACAAATATAACGGCAGCAAATAGTAATAGAGACTGCTTTCGTTACACCGACTTGTACGACTGATAAGATGAAATTTTCATACAATGGCTGTCGTAATTATATTGTCTTGTCTATGCAACCCGTCAGGATGAAACTCTCGCCAGAGTTAGAATTGCCACACAACATTATTGTCTTATTTGTCTCTCTATTTGCAACTGGGTGATGAAAAATGCATATCACAAGCTGTGGTATTTTTACCAGAAGTTGACGGCTTGTATAAATTAGGTTTAATTTACTGAATCCCCTTGAAAGGAGTCAAAATCGACGGAAATAATCGTTTCTTCAGTGATACATCAGACTTTGCAACTGTCATTAGCTGTTTATGGTCTTGGAAAAGTGTAGCTTGTTTCAATCACTTCACATCCACTGAGATCCAAACACAGGTTTAACATCTCTGAGAAAGCTCTTGGTTATTTGGCTGAGTTTGAGGATGATATTGAACGTGTACTACATATTACAACCATTAGTAAATTGATGCAGTCAATAATAGCGACAATCAATCATAAATAGTATTTTTAGTTGTTATTATGATAAGAATATTCCTGTACCGTGTCTTCACAATTAAAGATGAGACTATATTTGCAATATTCTGATATCAAATTTAATTCAGAGTATGATTCTAGAGCAGCATTATTTGTCAAAGAAGTTCCGTATACCTCCGATACGGAAAGCGGTTTGCACTTTTACCAGCGACGGAGAATCTACCAGGAAAATGAACGAAATAAATTTATATTTAAACACGGTTTTCATTAGAATATAAAGGACCATTCTAATTGCAGGGAATTTAACAAGAACAAGTATTGAAATAAAAGAAGATAATCGTTCTGAAAATGCTGATTGCTAAGGAAACTACGACTGCTTGTAATCTTTCGGCCAGTTTCACTAAATTAATTAGCTGTCAGGGTTTCCGATAAAACGGGAAAATAATTAATTAATCCAATGTCAGAGTTCAGTCTCAATCCGTCCAGAAATCTTGACATGCTGCGTTTGTTACAGCCTGGAAAATTACGGAGGAACACGTCATTCATAATACACGATCCTGACAGAGAGGAAGTAGAAACCCATATTGAAGCCTTAAAATTGACTTTAAAAGACAAACAAGAACCTTTAGGTAGAATAAAAAACAACCTTCACAGGAACTGGTTGATAAACTAGATGAATTAAAAGTCCAATTAATACAACAAAATGGTCAATTAATTGCTTAAATTGAACTTAAAGAGACTAAGAAATGATCTTGGTTGATTTAAACATTGAGAAATTTCTGGTTAGCAGTCAATAAAATGGGGCATTCTGCAACAAAACCAGACAAAGTGAACATTTTATTATGTGACATAAATGAGAGGCTGGTGTTAAGTAATTTGACTAATAACATTTTGATTATCACAGCTGTATTTATACATAAAATTTACATAATTACAGTTTTAAATTAATATCATGCCAGAATGTGACTAACATTAAAGTTAGCTGAGATAATATGGTCATAACATGATTAATATTAATATAAGATTATCTCTATATAAAAATATTAATATGAAACTAATTTACATTAAATCCATCATTGAACCTAAAAATTACAGCGCTATTAGAAGTACAGTCAAACCTCGAAAAACTGATACTGCGAAAAACCGATAATTCCCAAGACCGATAACTCCCAAACCCGATACTTTAACTTTTTTCAATTCCCGTGCAATTTATATATTAATATGATAACCCCTCGTAAAACCGATATTACATATTAATATAGACCTCGCAAACCCGATATTTTTTTGGCGATAGTCATAATAATAATATATTGAAACCGATTTTATAAGGTAGTACAAATTAACAATACATGTATCGTAATTGGCCAATCATCAATCTCCTAAATTTGAAAAACCGATAACCCCGGAAAACCGATATAAAAAGGTGAGGACAGCCACATCGGTTGACTGTATTTTGAAAAAAGAAAAAAAATTGCACCATATGTTTTTAAAATCAATGATACTTGAACTCTCCAGGAATGTCCAGATAAAGAAAAAATCATTTAAGAAACATAAATCCAGCAGCCACTTTCTTTTTTTTTTATTTTGTAAAATTACTTTACTGTTACTATAACAATTTTAAGAGCGACATTTAATTATGAATGATAGCGATTTCGAAACACGCGCATGAGCCGCTGAGAGATCGAGAACATTTTTTATGTTCTCAATGTGGAGTACGTGCGTATTTATATTGTCAGAAACCAAAACCCATAGGTGTGGTTACTGTGCGAATTGTGGAAAGTAAAAGAGCCGCAAAAGAAATAGAAAAACATTTCACTTGACAGAATGTTATAATTGTCAACACAATCCTAATGCGCAGCCTGCATGTGTAATGTGTGATACCATAAAGATAAAGCTTATGATGAAAAATTGTTGCTCAAAGCCTTAATAACTGACTTAGGAAATAGTGTTTTTACTTACTCTGAAGTTAGACCTAATGCTAACGGTCTTCTTCAGATGTTACTATGATTTCTTGACATGCACATGTCCACTATAATAATAATGGAGTTAAGATCTCTAAACCTTAATACCTTGATAGAAATCTTCTGTTTGAAAAAATTTGAATATTTTCTCAAATGTCAACGGCTTCACCACCCCCTGGTTTAGCTTGAAATTGTAAAACAATATCATTCAGAACAAAAGAAACAAGCCCAGGTACAGGATGGCACTTGGTTGCTTCTTTTACATAGTTGGCAAGTTGAGGGATATCCCCTTCAGGAAGCAGTTTCAGATTGGAGTGACAAAAAACATCAAATAAATCTGCATACTCTTGTTCAGTATACTGAACATCTTCAAAATTCCAAGTATGGGTGGAACCAAAAGTTTGATACCTCGAAAATACCATCCCGAAGTTGGTTTTTTGTATCACCGGAAATCACATCACGACGTGACACCAGATTTTACAGGCTTTTTATCCAATAGATTGCCATCGTCCTGTAAAAATTATATCATTGTCCTGACGATATGTTGGTGCTGGCGCGCACACAAAGTCCTTTAACCGACAACGAACGGCGCATGATCACGAGTACTTTTCCAGTGCTGAGCAAGACACGGAGCAACGAAAATTCCTCACACTATGCAAGCGAGTTGCCACGGCACTTGGGATTGGTGAGGCAACAGTTGGTCGGCTGGATTCGCAGAAATGATGGCGAGTTTACACCTCATAAAACCATGGGTCGCTTAATGTAGCAAAGGAGTATAGAGATATGGATGATGATGTAGAGCTTGCTGAGACTGACTCTGATGATAACAAATTGCAAAATTTTGATGAGAATAAGGATTTTTAACAATAAACTCATAATAAAATTACATCAAAAAGTATCCACAGACCACAGGAATAAGACAATATTTTTGTTTTATTTTTATCTATTTTTTTGATAAAGTTTTCCTAAGAGCATGTGAAGCATCAAACTTTAGGTTTCACCCCATATTAATTTCATCTAAGTCAAAAGAAGATATAGTCTAATCTGGTCCACTATATGCTCCCCAATATCTGTAGGATGCAAAGGCAACAATGTGGAGACCACCACCTTGTAGAACTCTCTTGACTGTGTCCCAAAACCTATTACTATCACCACCAAATAAATGCACACTCCCTATTACTATATCCTGTACATGTAATGATTTTTCAGTCCCATCCAGGTTGTGTGTGTTTTTTTTTTTATTTGTTTTACTCTTTCATAATATCTCTTGATAGCACTTGTTAACTCTTTAATTAAAATTTCTTCTAAAGATGCTTGGTTAGAAGTTTGATGATATGATAATATAATAGATGGTGAGATTCAATGGAGGATTAGCTTATCAATTTTTTCTGACAAATTGAATCTTGTGTATAACATCAGTTTCATCAAATTTATGACACATTGTTAACTCTGCTTGTACAAACTCACTCAAACTGATTACACTGTCTGGTTGATGCTTCTGACTTAATGTCTGACAATGATTGAAACTAGAACACCATCCATATAGTTGCATGCCTTTACAGCATGTAGTGATAGAGAGAATTTTTGGCTGGGTATTTGGCACAGAGAACTTAATATATGTGTAAGCCACACATTTAAGTTAGGGAATGCAATGTTCAAAAGTATAAACATTAGGAATGTTGATACTTTAATGCACAATCTGTAAATGTGCCATTTTTTTTACACTCGTTCCAGTCAGGAATAACCTGCCCAACTGTACTTTCTAAAATTCCCACAACGGCAGCAACATGCCTGTATAGCGCAAACTTCGAAAGTATTTGTGAGTGTTATTGTGAATGTGATAGGCGAATTACGAGAGTTTTTCTCGTTACCACTTCATTACGTGCTCTGCGATTAATACCCTGATCAATCTGCCATTGTTGACCGGAACGTAGGGCATTAGTCGTCTTGGCAACAATTTCTCGTACTGCCCAACTTGTTCACTATATTCGTCCGGTGATATGTTAAAAAATCGGATAAGATTGATCATATGCTCCTCGTCCAGGGGGCATCATTAATTCTATCAGTTCGATCAAATTGTTGCTGGATTGGGATTCCAGGGCTTGCTGTATTATTTTCGAAGCCTGAGTCATGGTCGGATCTATTGTCATCAAATCTTTATCATCGGAGAAATCAGGTGATCTTGGTACGTCTGGATTGTAAAATTGTTGCCATCCGGTGGGTTGTTACATAGTATAAGAGGACTCTAACCCTGGCTTGTGCCTCTGAGGACCATTGATCGGTCCTGACGTTGCTTCAGACTGCGATGACATCGGATAAAGGGCATTCGAATATAACTGATCCCCAATTAAGATGGTACTTGATGGTTTCCGTAATCTGTCCGCTGTGTCGATATTCGAATTGATTGAGGAAGGGTAAGTAATATATCCAAGCTGTGGCGTCTGTTCCTCGCTCTTCTGCCTTCCTCTCCCTAAGTGATGTTCATTTGTTTTCATTAACTCTGACTTTTCCCCATTTTTTCAACCCAATTAACAGTTTTGTTCAATTTTTCTCATTATTGTAAACATACAGATAAAGCTAATAATCTTACTTTTGAGGCATGATAAAAGTATGGTGTTTATTGAAAGACGAGGTTTTAATACATTATCATGCTAGCTATTAGTTAACAAATTGTTAAGATGATGACTATGCAAATGTATCTTTCTTAAATAGTTCTTATGATAGTTAAAATTTATTCGTTGATTATATTTAGTGTCTCAGTTACATGACCTGATGTTAAAAGGTACTAATGGCCTGATTTAAGTATCGCTAAATATCTTGCCTGATGTTTGGGTCACGTGCATGCATTTACGGAGATTAAAATCCGTTGCACGTGCAGAATAGGGAGAATGGTGCATTTATCATTAATTCCCGAGGTTGGGAATTTGAAGTACTGTGGGTTGAAAGGTATAGTAGAGAACGAAAAGCCAATATGATGCAGCAGACAAGCATAGATCAGTATTTTACGCAAGTATAAATACAACATATGAGGCATGCTGCAACAAACCAGACAAAATGAACATTCTATTACGTGACATAAATGAGAGGCTGATGTTGCTGAAAGGTGACTAATTTGACTAATAGCATTTTGATTATCACAGCAATAACTTGTACATAAGTTTATGTAGCAAACTTCTATTACTATCTAAAAATTATACATGATTAATATAGGATTATGTCTATTATAAGAATATTAATATGAAACTAATTTACATCAAATCCATCATGGAACTAAAGAATTACAGCACAATCAGAAGTATTTTAAAGAAAGAACAAGGTGAAAAAATTGCTCCATACGTTTTAAAATGAATGATACCAAAATTCTCGAGAAATATCTTGATAAAGAAAAAATTACTTATGAAATTTATCAAGAGGAACGAAGAATAATAAATAAACGAGCATTAACCCCAACTTATGATAAACCAAGAAAAAAAAACGAAAGCTAGAAACATAAAGCAAATATCTGTTTCTTTATTATCGATAACCGGGACAAATTTACGTACTGTTCAAGTAAGAATAGATAATTTTTGTTCGCTGTGCCCCAAGTACTACAAATCCGACACAAACCAGCAAAACCTGTATTGTGTTAAAGGTAATAAAAAGGAACACTAGAATAAATCATTGGGAGACCAGCCGTTTGATCGGCAAATCAACTGTTTCAAGTCTATGGTTATGGTATATGTTTAATAAACGCTCATCGACATTTGATAAGCCGGAAGATTAGTTATAAATTAGCACCATTTGCACACCTTTTCGCTCAAAAATACAAAAACAAAATTACAATTGATCGACTTGCAACCGTGTTGCCGAAAGCGAATCTATTCTATTAAATCAAACAACAAGCCGGTCAAAATGTTACCGAAATCTTCTGCGAATTGCTCTTTCTGATCACACTTATCGCTAATATAGAATTAGATTGCACTCTACACGTGTAATGCCGACAATAGCATAAAAGAAACAAGGCAGGAATGAGTGACACTAAGCAGATTTGAGCGGAGACACGGGAAGAAATTCGTCACAGTAATATGGTTTTCTTATCAGTGAAACTCATCTCCGCTAAATGCATAATTCCTCTAAGTGCATACTTTTGTCCGGTTTGGACTTATCTGTTATTGCATACATTACATAGTATCCATGCATATATTACGTGATGTATTATATCGGCGCAATATAATAATAATGCATGCGCGATCAATTTTCATTGCAATTTTCTGTCGCATAATACAGTTGGAAGTGTATCGATTTTTAAATTACTTTCTATAAGTAGTAATTTTTCTCTCGAATATAAACAAACCCAGTAAAAGGTCTATAAGTTTGTAGGGTAACTAAATAAATTAACAGGCTATACATGTAAGTTTATAAAAGTTTTAATTAAAATCACGTGTTATTTGTTTGACCAACCAGAACGTATTATTATATTAAAAAAGAAATATAGTATGCTATTACTGCTTTCTGCGAGGGTAATAAAGTTCTTTGTTATATTATTATATGTGTTACTTTGATGCTCAGTAAGTTTGTATTTAGTAGAAAAATTCTGGCTTTAACAAACGGAGAATCAGAAAGCTAGAGACTTTGTGAATGTTATATCTAAAATGAAAGATGAAGTGCAGCTACGACAAACAAATTTGTTAGAATTTTTTAGGGGTTGAAAATTCACCAATCAGATTTAGCAATTGAGCAAATCTGATTGGTCATATAAGTTTATGCGTCCCTAAGTCCCGACTCGTGTCCAGAAATTTTAATAAATATAAAGAGGTTATAATTTTATTCAGTATAATTATATCCAGGTTCTACTGTATTACAGGACAATATTCCGCTCTTCTCACTTATTTTTTGAAAACGTTCTTCCTACATCCCACCTCTCGCTTGCTGCCTGAAAAATCGCGGTCAGCGAGATTTTTGCTTCTTCGAGTGAATAGCTGTTTAAAAAAGTCGCGTGTCACGTTCGAATGAACCTTATTGAAGGCAGGCCAACTTGAATTAATGCCTGTTTTCAAGGAAACAAGTTAAGGAACTTGCTAAACAGTTTGAAATCATTGGACAAGTGGGCATCTGATGTCGTGCTAACAGAAACCTGGTTGGACAGGGTGGTGCTTGTCAGGTATTTTGCGCATGTTGGCATTTCCTTTATTCTTATGTCTGTCTTTCTTTCTTTCTTTCTTTCTTTCTTTCTTTTATTATTATTTTTTTTAATTGTTTTTGTTAATTGTAGAGTGCTTGATGGCAGGGGCGGCGTCAATATTTTAGGGGCTGATACGTCTGTCATTCTTAGCCTCAGGTATGAATGTGATCAAATACAAAGATAGCTTGCATGTCCTTGTCTTGTGTGGTCTTTTTTAATTGCTACTTTTTATTATTATAGGCGGAGTACTTTTCTCGCCAACCCACCAACCAGGCAACCTGGAGAACCGGTTTATCCGGAAGTGACGCCCAATTTCGAAAAGCGATACTGTTGTGTCAATTTGGAATAATAAGAAATTCGATAAAAAGATTTATCGAGCTTTGTCAATTATGTGTGTATACTAATGTTGTTATAACAATCACTTGCCAAGAGCTATATTGTAATTAAAATAAGTAATAAAAAGAGCAATATCGTGTTCTTATCAATAAGTTTATTAGTGTATTATTAAGTATAAGAGTCGCGTTCACCCAAACTTTTAAGAAATAAGTTCAAGAGATGTTAAGAAAATTTATCTAACTGATTTCAATTAGTATTGTTGCATCGTTTGTTATGGAGATGGCAGTTTAAAGCATAGCTTTATGACAAGCACATCGAGCTGTAGAGCAGTCAGTCTTACAACTGCAACTAATGCTTATTAAATTGGCAAGCTTTGGTTTGAGACTGCTCTGTGTAGAGTTACTGATTTCTTGGGTATGGTAGTAAGCTCTGCATGCCACTGAATACTTGATGCTCAGTTATCTGAAGAGCATCCCAACGTTTAATATGTGAGAACTATGGAATTCAATATCATGATACACAACAATATAAGTATCATCATTAGTTATGTCGTAAATACGTAGCGTTTCTATATTATATAATTCATGTCAATTCGGAATTGACATACAACACTATCGAATTAATCCCATCTATAGGGAAGAGGCAGTCACAGTTTAATTAGTAATCGAGAGTTCGCGTATAAGGACCGAATGTAAGAGTCTTGAGTATAGAAAGTCCAATAAGGTCACTAGGTGGTGTTGTGTCTGAGTTTGAGTCCTGTCTCAGTTCGGACCCAATCGCTCAGTCCAGAACTGAGATTGATGTGCAACATATTCAAAAAATGTAAATATTAATAAAGCATAACAGAAACAACATTCACAATGCAAAATCTAGTCTATATGCTGAGCATAGGTTTTGAAATATAGCATATGGGATTTTCTCTCCCTCTGCACAGCCAATTCTTTCTCCGCCGCTCAAGTTTATCCTACAGATATTCGATGGGTTAAGATCAGGACTACACTCATTTCTGAATATTGTTGTTTGCTTGTGACTATCTTGTTAAAATTCCTCGTCATTCTTTTTCTCTAAGTCTTTGCATATATTGCACTAAATGGTTATTCAAGATTCTACATATTTCTACTGTTAACTAATTCTTCAAGCTTGACCAAAAGTCCCAAAGTCCTATTTAAAACAGCCCTATACCTTTACTTCTCCGCCACATGTTAACTGCTGGGAGAACAATATCATATCTTCTTTCCAGATCTGAGTTCTATCCTCACTTGTGAAAAGGGTAGATCGAAGCCCATTACTTTCATCTGAACTATTCTTTGTATTCTCAAAACCAGCGTAATCAATTACTAGTAAAAGAAGTAGTTAGCTCGAACCTGCCCTTTCATATAAAGAGAATGCCTGCCCATTCGCCAGCCAGCCTTCTCCTCAATTTCCCGTCCAGAGCTTGGTTTTGTATTGATCAATTTACTTACCACTATTTAGAAGGGCATAAGTCTTTAGATTGTTTCGATCAATTGACATTTTCAAATCGTAGCAATAATGCCGCTTCTAGTCGCTTACTAATATAATAGTGACATTTTTCACGCGTCCTCACTGGCTTAGTCGATAAGAACGTAGACACTTTTAAAAGAATCGTGTTTTGTTTAGAAGTAAATATTAAAGATTTTTATTTGACTGCTTCGGCGTTAATGAAACAAAGTCGAATGGAATATGAAATTCTACTTGTATTTTATAACAAATTTTGAGGCAGAAAACGGCCTTTTTTTTTTTACCTTTTGTATTGCCTCATTGAATTTAAATTCTAATAGATTATGGATGTCAGAAGAAGAATTTATATAAACCGGTCAAGGGCAGCCTTGTCGATGCCTACATGATAATCTTCCAAGGCTCGATATTGAAGACATGAGTTTCATTTTTCTTTGCCAGGCGTTTGTCGTATCCAGAATCAAGCAGCGTCCTATGGTCACTAATGTGAAGTACAGATCAATGTCACAATGGCGACCGATCGTGTTGTCGACAGTAAGCTACTTGAATAACTAGTATCACCTGCGAAATGTCCATAGAAACTGCTTACGTCTATTGCCATCTTAATCCCAGCAACTTTTACAATCACTGGACCGTTTATCACTTGCGAGCCACAAAAGCCCGAGATCTGATTATTTTAGATACTGAACAGACAAATATTATTTGATTTGAAATATTTCGGATACTGCTTCTCAAATGATATACGTCGTAAACCCTTAGTCAATTACCTTTATATGCATTAGTATTAACGATTATTAGGTCATTGGTGTCTATTAGGCGTAAGGATTTTGAGAACTAAATTAATTTCACAGCTGGCAAAAAGTAAAGCCATTTTTGGAAGCAAAGCATACGCTCTGTTTCAGAATTGTTACATAGAATACGTGATTAAAATTCATCGTTTCGAGGAATCACAACATATTTTTGTTCCAAGAATTATTGAATCCCCTTCATACCTTTGTTGTTGAAATAACGTTTAATATTAATGATGTGTGGGAATGAATTCGTAAACAATACATTTGAACAAAGTCAACGCTACTGCCAAACCAATGTAAACAGTTCACCATTGGGTTTGCTTATGCATTCTAATGCGTGTTAAAGTGTTAGACTTTTCGAGTTAAGCTAGTTGTGCGGCGTGCTTTTTGAACAATTCAACAAGTTTCTATCACGTTCAATGTTTATCTTGCGCAACGGTTACATACAGTTGATGCATGCAAAGTTTATGTCTACCAATCATTTTATAGAGTAATGCTTAATATTTAATATTACTGCGTAACATCGAACACTACCCCCGTTGCAGTAGACGAACTATAAATGTCAATAGTGGGGACTTTATTTCCAAGCTACACATACGTAGCTACAGCTAGTTTTAAAATCAGCTACCTAATATTACATACTGATAGATAAGTTAGACAGGACAGGAAAGAAAAAGATAATTTACATGTTGAAAAGTGAGGAGGGGAGTTTGAAGGGAGATATTATGTTGAAAAAGCGTGGTACTTGGTGGAGTAGATGTTGAAAGAAGGGGGGGGGAGAACGAACTGTAAATGTCGTGCTGTGTACTTGCAACTTTTCTTGTTGTACTAAAAGAGTTGTCATACCGTTGATAATGTTGTGCCAGTGTTCAGAACATATGCCTGAAGACATGTCTAATTGCAGTTAGATTTGTCTCAATAATATACTGTCCAGTTAATTACGCACTGAACACACAATAAGTTGAGGGAAGCACCAATAGTCGAGGTGAAGTAATAATAACAAATGCTAGCAATTACAATTCGGAAGAAAGTCATTCCTATGCCATCACATGCTCTTTTTTGCAGAGCAGAGAACGGAGATACGTACAAATGTAGCAATTGCTCACAAGAATGAGTCCAATGTGTCATTATTATCTACAGATATGACTGCGTTTGATAAGAGTGTGTTTGTCACTGGATGAGAGTCGTGTACACACAAGAAACATTAATGTGTAACAAGCAACATAAACTTTAAACAAGCTCTGCACACTTTTTTTTTTCGTATTACTCAATCATTGTATGCAAGCAAACTGATATTCCAAAAAGTAAGTTTGTCCACATGTGTTGGATCATTTCCAAATTCGACGCTACGGAGAAATAATATTCATTATTGTTGATCAATTATTCGAAAAGTTCTTCTTAATTAGAAGAAGTCAGCCAATAACGGTTCTAGTGAAGAAACACGTACGTTCGACTATCCAAATTTGTTTATCCATGGAATGTGAAAAAAATTATATATGTAAAATCGTCAAAACGTGCATCAGTATGTTAATCCGCATCTCCATTCTTATCACATGACTTAAAAAACATATTAACGTAAGAGGTTAAGGTCAATGCTAGTGAACATGCTTATCGTTACTCGTCAACTTTTTAACCGAGCAGCTTCACATATTGTTACCGTACATTAATGCTTCGTTGTTGTTGTTTTTTCAGGACTACAGAGTTATCAGATATCTATAGAATGCTTAACGTGTTCGATCATTTCGATTAAAGGTTTAGGCATTCTCAGATTTAGTTTTCTAGAAATGACCCTGCATAAAACGTGGATTATACTTTTTTACTTTTGCAGAAATAAGCAAATTTAAATTGCGCATGTGGTATGTAAAACAACAAGTTTGCCATTTTGGAAAACAGTCAAAACTTAATGGTTTATCTAATATGGAATGACGTTATCAGTTCACCCGTCATTTCAACAATGGTCTCGACCCACCGGCAACCGGTTTTATAATGCCTATTAACCTATAGTTTCCTATATGGTACTGGAAACCAATTTAGGCGCTTGCTAATAACATCAATTTACAGTCAATTGGTCATTAGTTTATGTTTGTATGTTGTTGTTTTATTTTGTTTTCAGCGTGGCGTGTGTGATTAACGTTAATTTCAATTGTGTGACTAGTAAGAACGAATAACTGTCCAGGAATACATTACATTAGATAAAGTACCTGGCACTGGGAGGACTAGATGAGATAAAGAGATTATAATACGATGTCTTGAAAGATAAGATAGAGAGTTGTACGGGAATTAAGTTCGTAGGACGCATGCATAGATTCATGTAGAGTTGGCAAGATGATGGTAATCCGTCCAGGACAACAGTCGCGTATGAAAGTATTTGCATTGAATGAAGAATGATGCCATGGTTTGTGAACTTGCACAAATATGTTGACATTTTTTAATTTATAAAATATAGACAGCAATGGTTACTTTCATAGCTTTTTTATCGTAACACCATGTGCACATATTTGTGAGTTTCAATTCGTTGGGTATTCCATATTCCTTGTATGTTCTTTTGTATTACACTTAATGTATAGGTTACTCTATTTGTCATGACGAATAATAAATTTCTAGTTATAGATAGCATATGCATCCGGTATCTCCCATAATGAATCAAGATAAGGGGGGGAGAGGGGAAGGAAGGGAGCCCTTGTTGAGGATAATAATAAAAATGACTAGAATTGGAATTGGAATGCGAATACACTCTGCATAATTGATCGAATGTTGTTCTATTCTATGCCGATCGAATGTTGTTCTTTTATCACTGTGTCGATCCGAATATTGGGTCCTGCAATGCTTAACTCCAAATGATGTTTCGAGGTCTTTTAACTCCAAATGAAGTAAGATAATTTATACCTGTTTTTTATTTATTTAGCCTTGGCAATTGTCAGCGTTCATCATTCAATGGTTTCTTCCAATTGCTTCGTTCTAATCAACGTTGTACAGGATTCTCATTCATTTTGAATGGGGGAATTCTACTATTCATTGTTAATACTCTGTATTATCGATTATTGGTGTTCAAAACGTAAAATACCTGCATTATATTTGTATGCCAATCCAAACCGGGATGTTTCATGGTCACTGGGCAAATCAGGCAACGCATCAGAGTAATACCGCATTGTGGTCACATGGCGATAAGATGTGCAATGTTCCACAGTCGATATATTTGATAACCACTTGTAATAAGAATTTATGTTCATTATTCCGAGTCTCGGATGGGCAAAATAAATATTCGGAGCGTCCGCACAAACAGCGCGCACAACAAATAAAAGCAATAATTTGACACTATTATATTTTATTTGGGAAGTACTATTTAACCAATAGACAAATATTTAATTCAAATCTAAATAATAAAACACCGAACAAATATATGTAACAATAAACAAAATAGGTTTGCAGCCAATTGGTTATGCGAATTAATAGCATTCTGCAAGGTCTCTCCTTCTCGATACGCATTTAATTAGACGACATTTAATGTAATAAGAATGTTCTTAATGACAAAAGAATGACCCCCCCCCCCTACAATCAGCCTGCTCGTCCCCTTTCCAACCAACATTTAGGTTCGTCCTCTTAGTGGACTCGTTCCCATAACATCATCCTTGACGTATTCTCCCGTGTCACTACAAACCTCGTTTTATTTCTTACCGATCCAATCACTCTTTGTCTCACTCGCTTTAACAAGCAAAGTGACACGTTTAGACTATGTCTTGGCCGTTTGACATGGAGGATTTGTTGTGTGGTCTTTCTTGTATGCAAATTAATGCAATGCAAATCTTATTTGAATTTAAGCGGGGCGGTTAAGACAGATGTAGCGATAAAGCAAGTAAACAAGTAAAAAGCAACAGGTAAAAAGCAACAGGCGTAGATGTTTGATTAACATTTCATTACCATTGAATTAATATCATTGTATTATTGTTATTGCTATTGTTGTTATTGTCGTAATCATAATCGTAATCATAATGTGGGTTCTGTTCTGACATGTCACTGTTGAACCTGGTTGCGCTGAGTAAAAATTTACGTGAGGATTAATAATAATGAGACCTAATGGAGTTAGTTGGTTACGATTAATAGCGTTGTGTCCAGGCCAAAATTTCGTAATGGATCGAATGCTTTTACGCCAATACACAAACATTTAGCGTTTATGCATTAGTATTCTAAAACGTTATATATAAAGTATACACACATATACATGTATACATATGTGCATATAAATATCCTGCTCGCCTTATCAGGTATGATAACCTAGCCAAAAGAGTGAGTTTTTTTTCTCGCCGAGAATCAATTCCTGATTGGGGTTGTCAGATAATAAGATAGCACTCCTTTGAAATAAAACCTCCTCCCCCCGCCCCACGCATCCACTAAAATACTACTTGTAACAAATAAAAATAATCGACATCGCTTTTCCTTGTCTCTACACGTAATTACCCTTTCTAGAATTGATAGACTCAAGTCGGTTGAATATCGTATAAAGTTGATGTTTTAACGCTGAGGAAAAAGTATACAACAGAAACACCCACTTACCCGCCAAATAATAATAATCTTGCAGTTACGGATTAAGCCTCATTCCTTTCTCTTTTGTCATCCAATTTATTCTATATCCACACATGGCCGATAACATGTCAATTATGAGCAATCATGTTCCAATGTCTGCAGTAAGTTCGCAGGCTGGTTCTCCGGTCCTCTCTCCTCGCAATCGTCCTCCGACCAGTTCGTATCTCAAACGACACAAAAGTGTCAAATTTGCATATTTATCCGGCGAAACCTCTTTCCAAAAGGGTATCCTTGGAGATTCCGAAACTTCTCTGGTCGGCATTCTCGAAATCAACTATTCTCAACCACGCCACGTAAAAAGTATCCTCCTCAACCTAAGAGGTGTAGAAAAAACCCTTTGGTACAAAGCTCAAGCACGCACAAAATCCATGCATATTGGCGAACAAGTTCTCGTTGATCAAACGTATAAAATATGGGAAGAATCGGACGACAAACTTGTCAAAAGTATAGAAGTTCCGTTCAGAGTCAAATTGCCTTATAATCTCCCAGAGTCGGTTACGAGTGAAATAGGCTCGGTATCATACGTACTCAAAGCTACCATCACTCGCAGAGGAGGTCTAACCACAAACAATACGCAAATCGTCGAAATAGTCTGCCCACTGAAACGCACTCTTGTATTGGACAACCAGAACAGTCCCCCATTCAAATTACGCGGAGAATCACGCAACGGTCTGGATTATACCTTTGTATTACCTCCTAACAAACAGCTCAACTTGGGGACATATGTGACCATCCCGATGAGGATTAGGTTCTTGAAACAAGGAATCAGCGTAGAAAGAGTAGAGATTGTTTTAAAGACATGTATGGACTTTCGCTGCAACAATCCAAGTGAAACCCGTCATTGTAAAGAACAAGCGGCCTCGCTGGTCATTCCCAGACAAGAAATGCATTACCTTCAGCCGGTATCTAATCAATACGAAGGCGAATGCGTCCACACCATCAACCTGTTCATTCCGAGGAGCGTTCAGCCTACTTACTCTGGACGATTCATTTCGATCACCCACCAGCTGGGCATCAAATTCTGTCTCTGGGGTGCGGATTCAGACGTCAGCGTCGAAGAGAGTGTCCGAGTGGCGAATATTGTAGAGAAACACAGGACAGATGCTCCAACGGCTCAACCACCGCCATTGCCAAAGTCACCGCGCATTCCTGCTCAAGCGCATTCTCAAATGGTATCACAAGCATTGATGTATCAGAGTCCGCGAACTTACCTCAATGTTGGTGCTATGAACAATGTTGGTGCTATGCACAATGTTGGTGCTATGCACAATGCTGGTGCTATGCACAATGCTGGTGCTATGCACAATGCTGGTGCTATGCACAATGCTGGTGCTATGAACAATTATCCTTATGCCGACATGCAACAAGCATTGCCGTCGGCAGATAGCGATAGCGAGTTCGCCGATAGACCAGAAAGGTATTTCTCCGTATATAGTGATCAAGATTCGCCAAGGTCCCGAAGGCCATCTGCGGTTTCCAACGAGATGTCATCTCCGCCGCCGCCGCCGTTCCCATATGACGGGTACGTTAGCGATGTGAAGAATTGGTATTTGGGATTTCTATTATATTTGTATACTGATTCAGTCTTTTGACTTTTATGTATATAAAAAAAAAAAAAAGCTACGGGTCGCGCATCTGAATAATGAAGCTTTTTCATTAACGCATATATGCATATGTATACCCACCAATATCGTCTTTCCTTATCACTTTCCTCCCTTCCCCACATAGGCTTGTTGCACCAAAGGCTCCTTCAATACCACCACCAATCCCACCGCAAATGAAAACACCGAATTCGCCCAGGGTTGGTCCTAGAAATGTTCCTAGGTCTGGTACACCTCTGCCAAAGCATGCACCCACCCTACCCTCTTATATGACATCATTTTCGCCCCCGCCTTATCAGCAGCCTCCGCCTGGCCATCATTACATGGACGAGGTGTCATATGTTTATGACTTTACGGAATAGGCTTCCCTTCTTTTTTAATTTTTCTTTTTGTATAAATATATAAAACTCCTTTTTGAAAAAAAATATATAATGCTTTTCACCTTCTTTTTTCTTTCTTTCTTTCTTTCTTTCTTTTTCTTTCTTACTTACTTTTCTTTCTTTACGTTTTTCTTTATTGTCCCTAGTTCCTTACTCCTAAATCTCTCTATCCGCCCACTTTATTCCCTTGAGTATTCCACCGAGTTTTTTTTTTTTTTACTCTCACCTCACACTTCCTTTCTATCTATCACTCGAAGTGAAAAGATGAAAAAGACATCTCGCTCACATCGAGTGTTAAAATACAATCAACGACATTCATTACGAAAAGAGACATTTTTACACGACCATGGGCTTAAGGTTAACGTAGTCTTGGTCGTTTAAACAGTTTAATGTTAAGCGGTTGATTTCAGTTGATTTCAGTTGATTTCTTTGGACATCATCAGACATTAAAAAAAAGGGATGGATGGTCTTCTTTTTTCTTCTTTTTAATCATTATAATTTAAATCAAAAGTTTTTTACAAATTATTTGTTGTACATAATTGCATTCCTCTCGTCTGTAAAATCCATTCCTTTTTTTCCTTTCTTTTCCTACATTCTTCTTTTCCTTTCTTTTTCCTGCGTTCAATTATTTTCTCTTCTCCATTGTTTCATCCTTTTCCCATCATTCGTATTCTCATTGACCACCTGTCCAATCTTTTCGCTTTATCTCTGGCGAAATCTTTGAGACCAAAACAAACACACATCTAATTTCACACCTGTTATGCGCGGTTCGACAGATGGCGGATAATCAGCAGCTTGACGGGTAACGTCGATGATACCCATGCATTTGGAATACAATTGAGATTTATGAGAGGAGATCGATGAAAGGTTGTTGACATGGAAGATAGTAGCACAATTCCTTACTTGTTTATAATATTGGGATTACGGATGGTGTCGAGAGAAAAGAGAAAGGGATGATGTATAATGCCTGCGAATGCGAACGATTTGAATGAAGAAAAGGGATGGGTTTAGTTTAATGTAAGATCGCAGAGGATAGAGTTAGATGACAAACAACCCGATACAGTAGTAAAGTAATTAGCATGTTGATTTTTGGAGTTACAGTATAATTGTGAATAGTCATTAGTAAATATTTATTATTGTCGATACATTCTCATTATTTGAGTCGATCATCTGGCATGAAGATCTCTGATACGGAAATAAACATATTCATGTGTATTGTCAATCAAGATGAATAAACAGAAAACCCTTCACCAAACCATGCGACCATTTGTATATAATTGTTTGTTGAACAACTTATGACAAGTTGTTCTCGGTTGATGTTAGATTATCCGTGTGCTTTATGATTTGACAAATACGGCAGTTTTTGATATCAGAAACTAGCGTGTACCACTGTGCAAATAGCTTATGTAATTCATGCAATGTCGGATGGCTCCGATCGAAGAGAATTTCATTGATGCATCGGTCAATCACAGCGTCGCTAATTAGATAGGAGCAGTCTTTATCTTTGGGCTCCCTTTTATATCCAGAAACCTTATTCAAACGAAAATTACTCGCAGTCGTATATTTGATATAAAATAATTTATAATTATATCACTAATGTAACATGCAAAAATTATTTGCGGATACACATCGCAAATTACGGGCTGATGAGACGTGGTGCTAAGGTATGGTCGTTTGGGTCTTATCGGGTCTTATCTGATAGTGTCGTAAAGCAAATGTAAACAACAAGTATACTCTAGTATGCCTTGCTGAGCTGTCTGATTCTGCTCTGCGTGAAATTTTAACCCTTGAGACACTATTAATATTCTGCGAGCATAATTTATTTTACAAATACTTTTCGCAAAGAAATCTTTCTTTAGTTTATGCTCTAAATATTTAACGAGAAATTGTTTATTCGTTTCGTTATTCGTGTTATTTTCTGTCAGCAATTGAAATTGTACGCTGGTCTGGGTTAGCATATTGTTTAGATAAATATACAGAGGATAATAATAATAACACTTTCAAAACTACAGTCGATATTGAATTTACAATTTATTTTTCGCTATATCGAACCTCGCTTTAGGATTTACATTGACTTACTCAAGAGCATATTGACGACAAATGCTCGAGACATTCATCTATCGGAAGCAAATTTGGCAGGCGCGTTGAAGCTGGCATTTGCACAAAAAGTCTTTCACAATCGCAATTTAGACGATTAGACACAGTTGACCGGTAATTCCTTCAGCATATGCAATTGTTGTTGAGAAATTTACTGTACGAGCTATAAAGTTGTCGGTTCTGACGGAATACCCTAAATTTTGTTCCGCGGGTTTACTTCATAAAGTAATATTACTCAAAACTCTAGTTGGCTGATTTATTCAGAAATTCAGTATTGCCTTCTGCTTGTCAATATCCACGTCTTTCTTTGTTCAGCTTTCATAATTATCAATTACAAACTAATTATGCTCGTTGTTTTGCGTGACTGTTATATGATTTATTTTCTGCGAACATGAGCATTTAAACACCAATGTTGGTAAACGATACGTTTATGGTGGCTAGATTACTTGAATTACACTAAACTCTTTAATCTTGGTAAGAAATTTTACTAAATAAAAAAATCAATATGCTTGTTAGAGGTATTTTTTGGAACCAGTAATTTCCAATGCATACATGTATACTGTACATGTTTTTACCCATTTGTTCCTTCAAGTAAAACTCATTTGGCTTCAAAATGTTATTAGTCAAAGTACAGACAGTTCAAACAAGTTGACTTAACTTTTGCAGCATAGATATCGCACGTATGAGAATAACTGTAAGCATTTACAGCCAGAAAACGCATAATTAAGTACGTATCACTGTGTCAGTCACGCAAAAAAAGAAAAGAAATTTGTAAATTTCGATTTGGCAAATTAATTCGTTATAAAATGATTTTTTGCAAGCATTCTCACAGCAGCCTTTGTTTGCTCTCGCTGAATTGCATTCACATAAGCTTGGGCTTGGATTCGATAATTACAGTATTCAATGATTCGCATTAGTAAAGTTTCTCTTGCAAATAGATTTAAACATATGCCGTGTAATTGTATATTCATTTATGTGTGTCCTTTATGTGCGCTAACAAAGGACGCGGTCATATAAGTGTGATTCGGACTTGTTTGTTTATACATCTATAATTATAAATGTTATAACAGATTATATCAATTGATTGCGTTGTGCCCTTCTAGACAAGCAGATAACTTAGGCATTTAGTATAATGCAAGTAGAAATTAGTTACATTAGCACATGGTAGTGTATTTCCCAGAGAGACTACAGTTACAAAGGTTATGTGACAAGCATGGACTTGTTAGCTTCCCATTTGTTTTCGTTTAGAATAGATGTAGTTTCAACTCTGCTTTATAATACAAAGTTTCAGACGGCACGCACTATCAACCAACACAACGACAAACTTGATATTACCTGTACACATATTTTACGTATAATGTATCAACATCGATTAATATTACATGGCAACCATTTTTTGCAGTGTTTCGAATCATTGATCTTCGTTATTCTACGCGCCAACAAACAAAGCCGTAATCTATTTGATATCTGCTGCGCACATGACGCGTGGTACCAAACAATCAACGGCAATTTCCATATTTATCCTCTTCATTCTCGATGAAGTGTCCCAGCACGATTTCCGTTGACTTTCGCACCATTTAAAAAAAAACACACGTATAAAATACACGTTTCCAGGTATGTGCAATACCTAAACACCGACGCGTCATAACAACAAATCTCTTCCCATTACAAAAATGACGAAAGCCTTCGTATTCACTCCACTTTCGCTTGCACTAACTCGCGTTCACCTCCTTTATCCACTTCATGGCTTTTCGAACACAAAGCACAAAGGGACGTTACCATCAACCGTTGGTTGAATTCCCAATCCTACAGATGTCACATATTCCGAACCTTCCAAATAAAACCAGGCAGACCAATAAACTTACAGAATGGCTCATCCAAAAACCGACTCGAGAAAGTTCGGACGAAGATAGAATAGAAGTAAGAATAGAAGTTCCCAAAGAGACTCCAAAGATCACAACCAAGCGTGGTAGGCGACCTAGAACAACAGGATCAAGATCGAATACTCGCTCTGACGTTACTGGTTTAAATACTCAAGAGAACGCAGAAATAACTTCTGTGCCCAGATCTCAAAATCTGTATGATGCTGGGTTAACCGTAAACAGCGCAATCTCCGAAACATCCTCTACCGAGTTTTCTGAACGCAACCCGATCGTCATTTCCGACTCTTCAGAAACCTCGTCGGCTTCGTCTTCGGAAGATGAGACGGTGCGCGTTGTGATAAATACTGAAGTACCTCGAGTTACTACCGCGGTCACTAGACGCTTTAGTGTCGTTCGTCATCCGGCAGGCCAAGAGAGAACCAGAGGGAGAGGTAGAGGTAGAGGTAGTAGAAAGAGAAGGAATTCTGCAATTCATAATGAAGTAAATAATAAAGTGCGACGGAACACGATTGCAAGCTTTTTCAAGAAAATTAGTAGGCAGTCTGATGGAGGTGATGAGAGTGCTGGCATGACCGTTAGCGAGGAAGCGTCGAGCAGCAACTCATCACCTAAAGAGTCGTCACTGCTTGGCGCAGAATCACGCGTCTTAACCGAGATTCTGGATACTCAACACAACGTTGGTCTTTGTATTATTCAAGATGTCGAATCGTTTGCGTATTGATTGCTTTCGTCTTTTTAACTTTATTTCTTGTTGATTTACAGAGTGTATCTTCTCGTAAACCTGGTCGACCGCGTATAATCGTTCCTATTGACGATCTCGATCCACGCGTTTTGGAATCAAGCAAACCACTCAATTTAAAGAGCTTGGACGAGACACCGCACGTTGATATGAACATTGTTGTGAATATATTCCAGGTTTTCGATTTCTTTGTCAAGTTTGAAAATGTCATCGGCGTCACTCTTGTCAACAGCAGCGGTGCTCGATTAACTTATGGTAGAATTAAAATAACATCTTAATCAGAAATATTTATAATCTATCGTAGGAAGAATATAGAATAGTAATTA